AAAAAAAAAAAAAAAAAAAAAAAAAAAAGATATTTATTTATATTCAAATTGACCTTTTTTTCATTTTTTTTGAATAATTCCAATGGAGAAACATTTCGATTACCATTCGATATATACCATTTTTCGAGCGAGTCATAATTTATTAATTAATCGACATCCCACGCCCGACGATTCTTGAAACGAATTTCAATTCTCCGATGATGGGCCGCATTACGCATTTGTCAATCTCAATTGCCCGAGGTGGAAGTACATCACGATGTATCCACATCGATGACACGTGTTTAATCACACTTGGATGGAAGCCCACCTCCCCGGTTCGATTATCGGTTTCGTTTTCGTGTCGGCGTCAAATCATTCGACACGAATCGAGCTGACCCCCGGGGCCGATGCCATTTCGACAAACATGGCAAACATTTCGCGGACACGCGCTTTGACTTTTAAACGAGATCAAGTATCGTTTTCCACGATTTTCGCCTCTCCACTCTCTTTCTCTCTCTCTCTCTCTCTCTCGCGAGAACAAAGTTTCCGCTCTTCCACCCTTCGAGCTACGATATCGGCGGATTATTTTAATTGGAGGAGGCTGGACGAGGAGGTGTCCTCGAAGGTAATTCAGCGGAAGACCACGTCGAAGATCGTGGGAGGGAAAATGAAATTTTCCCCATTGTACGGGGGAAGTTTCTCAATCTGGCTGGACGCGGCCGCCCTTCTATCGCGCCGATAATTAACTGCCTAACAATTTTTCTCGGCTACAACGCTCAATTTAAACTTTATTAATGAAGGGGCCACGCCTCATTAAGCCGCCGCCCTTAATGATTCCAACGACTCGTCTAATCCTGTCACGATTTACTTCACACCGCGTTCACCTCCTTCCCAAAGAAGGAAAAAGAAGAGCTTCGAAATATTTCTTCGATATATTCGTTTCGATATATTCGTTATTATCATTTTTCATGTTATCGAATTGATTGGAAAAAAAAATTACGACAGTTTCAAAGTGATATTTCGACGACGAGAGAATCGGCGAATTTATTTGTGAAAATAATCGTGGAATCTGAAACAGTATTCCAGTTGAATTAATAATTAATATTGTGTACAATTAAATTGATACAATTAAACTTTGGAATTTACTTTGATACCCGAACGATACGAAGAAGAAATCTCGGTGTTGTTACGCGCATTGATCGTATGCACGCGTATCGAGTTACGTTTTCGCATCGGCAACTTCGTACATTAATTTCATTCCACCCTAAAACTGCCATTCCCAGATTTCTGGAAAGTTTTTCTATCAAGTTTATTCCTTGATATTTGAAACTCGTCGAGTATTTTTTGCTCCCCATTTTTTTTTTTTTTTTTTTTTTACTTCTCCTTTCTTACTCATGCTTGACTTCGAAACAGTCAATTTTTCATTTCAAATGTGAATCTTACTGCTAAAGGAAACGCTTGAGAATTCGTTGGAAAATTTAATCCAATTCGTTCTATGCATGAATGAGAAATGAGGATGATAAAAAAATAAATAAATCTCTTTCAGCAATTAAACAGGACAGATTTATGCACAAACATTTTCTCGTTAGAAACCCCAAAGTGATCAGCCCGATCGTAACATCAAAGAATATTTTCCAGCACGATTGGACATAGTTACATAGCGCTTTCGAGTTCTCTCTAATAAGAGAATCATCCTGTAACGACAAATCTGATCGTAAATGGCGAATGTACGGCTAAAATTAAAATCTCAGAAATAGATTTAGGGGCAATTTATAATAGGGCGCCCACGATGATCGAGAGCGTTCGAATGAAAATGGGCAGATGTGCAAATGGCCAACAATGAAAACCGATAAAAACGATAAAGTAATTATCAGATGTCGAAAGTTTAAGAATAAAGACGACAAATTAATAGTTAGCGATAAGAAATTCTTAGAAGAGATTGAAAGAAAATATCGATATTTTGATAAAAGATAAAAATGTGTAATCGAAACGGATAAAATCGATAAAGAAAACGTAATCGAAATATTATAATTTCGCGATAAATTTGAAATTGTTGCCGGAACAAAGATTTGGTGCAAAGATTTCGACCACGATAACGTAAACTCTCTTAATTATTTTCGTTCGTTTACCTTTCCAAAGCAGCGAAAATTGCCTTTTCCCCTCGAGCTCGGTAATTTCACTCAGCCTCCTTCCTTTCATTTCATCCGATTTATTAAACGCTTCACTTTGCCGATATCATAATACTCCTCCCTCCCTTCCGTCCCTATTCCAATTGAAAAATAACAAATACACGGGTTACCAAGATTTTTCTCCGATTGAATTGCAAAAGATAATTAATTTTTGCGTGCGATCGATAATATCTTACATCATTACGTTACGTTCGGGAACAGGAATCGCGCGTGTATGTACGTTGCACGTATGTCGATCGAAAGATGGTTGCACGTAAGGTTCGTGTCGAAAAAAAAGTAACCTATAATAGATCGGTCGAAAAAGTGTCGCCACTATCGATCTGTAACGAAATTACGGAGGTTTCATCAACCTTGTTCCCGGGTGGTCAGGCAGTCAGCTGTTCGAAAATCTTCAAATATTTATTGCGTATAAGATACGCATTGTATAAGCACGCATCGCTTTGAAAATTAATTCTTCGATATGTACGCGTAAAAAATGTTAAATTCGATAAAAACATCAAAAATATCATACGATTCAAATATTCCAGATGCACGATGCAATGGACTGAATGATTCGCAATTCAATTTTTTTTTTTTTTTTTTTCCCCCTCGGCGTTTTCAAAGATATGGGAAAAGGGTCATCGATTTTTTTTTTTTTCTTTTTTTTTTTCTTTTATCACATCAATTTCGCAGAATGAATTTTCATTCCTGCGCGGAAATACAAACGTGCGCGATGTATAGTAAATGTGATTGCCCCTTATATACCGGCAACTAATTTTCGTGAAACGCATCCGGTGTTTACCGGTGCAATAAAAATTCCTATTTTTACCAAATTGATTGCGTTATTGCGAAAAGCACTGGAATCCGGCGGGCTGGGATCGAGCGGGTTCCAATTGGCGAGAAGGAGTGGGGAAAAAAGCGAAGAGGCTCGATCTTGATGCCGCATTTGTTCCTGTCCACACAACAGCATCGAACTTATTCCGATAGACTCTCAAAATTCACGGTTTATGCAACATAATTTATCCAACAATCCCTGTTGAAAAAATCAATCAAAATTCATCATGTGTGACCACTGCGCGTAAGTAGAGATGATGGCGACGGGATAAATAAATACATTTTCGAAACGGATCGAAAACGGCCCGATCAATTATAAAATCGTTTCCATTTATTTTTTTTCCCCCCCACAGAAAAGTTACGAGTCAGAAGGGATACGCGGGCCAAGTGACGTGTAAATGCGAGCAGTGAGTACAACATTTTCGTAACGTAAAACGTGTTTTCATTTCACCGATATTTACTGCTATATCCTAATAATAAATGATAATAATGATAATAAGTAGTAATAATAATAATAACAATAATAATAATAATAATAATAATAATAATTTCGTGTCATATTCGTAACGCAGCGGTGACAAGAGGATGGGCGAACTCAAGGAAAGGGACTTTGGAGGATGTTGCTCGAGGAAGTATGATATATCCAATATTCTTCCTCTTTCTTTCTTTTTTTTTTTTTTTTTTCCCTTCTCCCAATATCGTACGCATAATTTTTGCTTTCTTGGGAAAAAAAAAAAAATAAATCCGACGCATCCGACCTGTATGGCCGCCAGCATAACGAGAAAAAAAAAAAAAAAAAAAGAAAAAAAAAGAAAAAAAAAACGAAGAAACGTGAGACGGGGAAGGGGGGAAGGGATCGTACATGAAACATTGATTTTTAAACGTAACGGGAGATATTATTTAGGGGGAGGACAGGAGGAGAGATAGTTGATAATCAGACACTTTAAGCACACAGCAGCATTCGTTTAATCGAATTTAATAACCGACTGAATGTGCAGAGAGAGAGTAACAGTGGGCGGATGTTGCGGTTCCAAATGCTGCTCCGGATTGCAGGAGGAAGGAGGGTGTTGTACCGGAGGTTCGCCAGAGAGGGAACCGAAATTTTGTTGCAGCCCTGAAAACTAACCGAGTTTCCTCCTAAGGAAGCCTTTAAGAAAGCTGGCTTCAAAGGGAACGAGGCAACCGGTAAACATTATAAGCGTTAAGCCCCGGGCTGGGCGGCCATATAGGGACACGGTAACAGTTCCAAAGGGAATTCGTTGAATTTATTACGCCATTACTCCGTTCATTCACCGATCTTTCCGTTCGACACGGATCCGATGGAAATAATGCACGCGCGCGTGCGAGGAATTTCTTCCTCGAAAAAAAAAAAAAGGAAAAAAAAAAAAAAAAAAAAAAAATAGTTGTTCCTTCCTTTTCCCTCGAGAACGGAATTTTGGTCGAGAAAACGGGAAATTATTATATTGCGTCGCAATAATTTTAAGGGGGGAGGGGAGGGGTGGGAGGGAATTTAGAGATGATTTTTTTTTTTTTCTACAAAAGTCAATACGTCAAATTCCATCCATTCTTTTTTCAGAGCGAGAGAGGCGGCTGGTGGTTGTTGCTTGTCCGGTTGCTGCAAGGATAAAGGGAAGAAGGAACCGGAACCGGTTTCGAGATGCTGTGCCGAGCGAAAATGAACATTTTTCATTGATTAAAATTCTGTAGTATCACAGTACCATTCGATGTAATTTCATACTCTTGATGTAATAAACAATTCTTTCAAATTACACACGTCTCCTCGTCACGTCGAACGTTAAGAGTATTATAAAATACGCGTTCATAATGATAGAAAGATCGGTTAGAGAGAGAGAGAGAGAGAGAGAGAGAGTCTACTCGAAAGTATTATTTTCTCCGGACATAGGATGATCCCTTTCGAGATTAATATTTCGAGAATGATTTTTCGAGAATCATTACATGCATTGAAATATATTCGCGCCCCTCTCGCACTCGACAAATGAAAGCTGCCGCGTAATTAACCAAAATCCATCCTAAGTTATAATCATGCGTCATTAAACAACTTTGGAACAAACATCTAAATTTATCAAGTATCAATCATGTGCGACCACTGCAGGTATACATCCTTTTCTCCTCCTCCCCCACTTTCGCCAAATTCGCGTTCCCGTAATATCATTCGATCGCGCATATTTTTCCAGAACTTACAAATCAATGCTGAAAGAAGGGGACGGTAACGGTAACGGTAAAATATGTTATCAGATGGAGATGCCAAAACCCATCAGTATGCAACCCATCACCATGCAACCTATCAGCATGCAACCTGTCAGCATGCAGCCCATGCCATCGACGAAGCAATCGTGAGACCCTCTCTCTCTCTCTCTCTCTCTCTCTCTTTCTCCTTACGACTCTCTTCAAATTTTGATAGAGTTAAACGGAGAAACTGGTTTTCCGGTTAACGAACCGTATTTACAATTTGCAGCAGGAATCTCGACGCCGATTCGACGGGGTGCTGCTCGTGGAGGAAGACCTGCTGCGACGGGATGTGTTGCAGGCACGTAGGCAACTGCTGCGCCACAGGATTGGAGCCTCGAGTGGCCGAAAAACCGATGCCTACTTACCCCACTTATCCCACTTATCCAGTTATCCAACCAACACCGATGCCACCGCCTTATCCGCCCGCCGCTTATCCTTATCCCTCCGTTGAAGTGCCTCGTAAGCGTCCTATGATATCTCCTATAAAATTACACGACGTGACGCCCACGCGTCGGTTCCTAACCACGACCAACCACGACCAACCAAAATTCGAGGGGGAATCGTCGTCGAAAACGTGCCTCTTAATTGAACGTCGTTTCCCGAAACGAACGCTTCGCTCTGTTTCCGTGGATACGAGTCGAGAATTAACTTCTCTTCCATGTATATCCCCCATCCTCCGTGAAAAGGTCATCCTCGGCAACGATGGAGGAGTTGAAAAATGCCTGCGATCGTGGGAGGACGTGCGAGGATTTTTGGCTCGCGCTCCTTTCGGATTTGAGATTTTCTAGGTCGTTTTCTAGTTACGTCTCGAAACGCACGCTTCTCTAAAACCAACTTTTTCTCTCTTTATCTCCAAAGTTTCGAAAACACAGTTTCTTTCGTCCCTTTCTGGAAAATTTAAATTTGCTTGGGACGAGGATAAGATAAGGTAAGATCGAAGAAAGGGAAAGGGATGAATTAATTCGCGCGGTAAAATAAAACCCGATCATCACAAAATGTTAATTCAAACGAGTCGTGGAACGAGCTGTTCGCGCGTTAACCAACGGGATTAACGCGGATCTCGTCCCTCGGCCGAGAAGAAAGAAAAGTTACTTCGACGAAAAACCGAGGAGGGAAAACAGAGGGGGAGTCGATTTATTATGCGGGTGTATCCGAGTTAACCTGGAGGATCGTTAATCGATAGGACCTCGCCGTGTACCCAAACCGTGTCTGCAATCAGATCGAGAGGGGAAAAGTTATATCGGGTTATAACGTATTTAGTTTTCGACCCTGTTTCCGACAGTTTCCGGTTAAACGTTCACACCTGTCCAACCATTCGCACACTGCTCGCTCCTCGCGACTTTCCACTCGCCCAAATTGATCAAACCGATCTCCTTTCGAGCCTTCCATCCTCTCACCGCTTCGAAATCAATTGTATCGCGTATATTTTTATTTTTTTACTGTTGTTTTATATTATATTTATCTTGTAAATTTTATAAGAAATCTAATTAGAAACGATATATTTCCCAGCCCCCGAGGTGCCTGAGAGAGTGCCCTGCAGCCAGGAGAAGAAGTTGCCTCTATGTTACGGGGGCGATTGTCAAGAGATGAACCAGTGCAAGAATAAGGACATCGTAAACGATTCGGAGCCGAGGCAATCCGAGCGATAAAGGAAATATCGAAACGAACGAGGATGACGATCGAATGAAAAAATGGACGGCCGCGTTCCTCCCTCCAGGCAGGGGAGTATAGAGTCTAAAAAGCGACGTTGTTGCCAAATTTGGAAGGAAAATTAGTTAAGAAGGATTATTCCATTCTCTTTCTTGGCAAACACGAAACTTGGTCTTCGCCATCCCAACAGTATACTACACTTCGCAGGTGGATATACTTTGAAAATGAAATTTCCCGGAGGGGGAGACGGAATAAAATAAATTATCTCGGTTTTCCGTTCATTCGCGAGCAAAAGTTGGACAACAACCCCTCCTAAAGAGATAAAAGAGAAAAAGAAACCACGATTGTCCCTTGGAAAAGAGTTCAAAGAAGAAAAGCAAACCACGCGTTTACACCGAGATGATAAATAATAATTTTATCCTCGGCACTTTAATCTCTCATCTGAGCCAAATCTTGACGGAGGAAATTAGCATTATCATCTTCTATAATTTTCCCCTCGTTACTTTTATGTTTTTCGAAATTCAAATTTCGCGAAATGTAAGAAAATTTGTACAAGAATCGGCGGAGAGAATCGGCGAATTGCGCACCAATTTCGTGA